TTTTCATGGAGAAAGCATAAACTCTTATGTATTAACTTGTGAATAATAAAAAAAAATTCTTAGAGAAGCACATACTTGTCTCTATTTAATGATTTATTGTTATGGCTATCATAAATTCTCACTTTTTAGAGGGAATGGGCTGAGGCCAAGAAAGAGTTACAAGAAGAGCGTGAAAATGTGCGGAGACTCACACTAGATCGGGACCAGACCATAAAAGATTCTCTGAGACATGTTGAGGACATGAGCAAAGAGTTAGCTAATGCAATGCGTGCAGTTGCATCTGCTGAATCTAGGGCTTCCGTTGCTGAGGTACTTGATTTAGGTTGCTCTCTTGTACATATTCTCAATGAATTGTTGTAAAGACTAACTACGATTTCTATACACAGGCAAAAATTTTAAGTCTTCAAAGAAAAATGGGTTCCACGGATGATAAGGTTTGTTTTCTTTGATTGGTTTTGTTAAATTTGTGAGGTTTGTTGCTAATGGTTGTCTTTTTAGAACTATCAGTCTTAGGCTTTACACTCATTAAGGTATAAGGTTTGGTGTGTTTTGTTGAATATCATTATATCGTTAAAATCTTTGCATTCATTATGAATTTTTATAGCTCCCTTTTTATAAAATGAAAGAAAAAATTTATTAGATGGAACAATGAAACACAAAGGAGGATAATATATCTGGTAAAGTGGAGAGCCGAAATGATATGAATGAGTTTCCTAAAACAGCCAAACCCTTCAAGGTGTACTCCCGCAGGCCCAAGCCCCAATAAATCCAGTTATTTTTGGGGGTAAGTGGTGTTTTAGTGAGAGAAGAGAGAAAAGTGGAATCTTCGGTATTTTGAGGGGATGCAGTCATCGTAGATGTATGCAATTTTCATTTCTTTTTGTTGCAGCTTGAAGCTGGGGCTTGTAGAGATCCTCCATTGTTGAGAACATTCTGCTCTTATTTTCCTGCTATTCTTCCTTGTAAATTCATTTCTCATATTAATATAAATCTTCCTTTCTTCCTGATTGGAGAGTTTATCCTATCAATATCCTCAAAATCAAAAGCAGCAAAAAGAGCGCAGAACAAAATCTTCAAAAACATGGCCAAAAGATATCAATATGAGAAAGCTTTAGCATCTATCTGCATGTCTATGATTTTCTTTGGAAACACTGTCAATTAGTTTGTGTGCTTATGAAAAAACATTAGCTTAAATGGAAGTCTATCCTATTGTCTCTATGTGTTACTCCTTTTGGTCAAGTATCTTGTTGATTACAGATAGATTCATGACATGTGCTGTGTTATATAATTGCTGGAATGTTAGAGAAGGAAGTTTGACATCCATTTTATGGAAGTCCAGTTTGAGTGTATAACTGGTACTGTTATTTGCTAATTGGTGCTTGAGTGGAGGTTTATTGTACATATTTACTTCCCTGCAATCTTGATATTTATTCTGTTTATTCTAATCTTGGTGGTGGGATAAAAGTTTTCAAGAGAAGGCTACAGTTAAAAGAGAGTACTATTAAGCTTGGAACTTGAAAAAATGTTGACAAGCAAGAAAAATATATGGGATTGTACCAATCTTTAGGCACAAAAGACAGGGAAAGGTATAGTTATAGGACTAAGAAATATGGGGTTTGAGTGAAAATTGCTGTCTAATCAGAGCACACACGCTACATATATAGATGATAGAATCTATTACAATTTTTTCACTTCAATAAGTAGGTGTGTTCATGCATTACTTTTGTTGCATTTGTGCCTGACGTTGGTTTTTTATCATTATCTAGGTTGTTGCTGAATTGCAAACAGCAAAGGATGAGATTGAAAAATTGAAAGAGGAAGCACATGCTAACAAAACTCACATGCTGCAGGTTATTATTTTATTCTTTCAAACAAGTAATATTTAATTTATAATTAAACTAACTGCCGGTTTGCATTTATTTGAAGTATAAGAGCATTGCTGAGGTGAATGAAGAGGCACTTAAACAGATAGAAGTTGCACATGAGAACTATAAGATGGAGGTATTCTAACATACTTGAATCTTGAAAGCTATTTTCCATGCTATTTGCTATTGTACCAAATGGATTTTGTTTGTCTTCTTTGTAACGCGTATAGGCTGACAATGCAAAGAAAGCACTAGAAGCTGAACTTCATTCGCTTAATGAGAAAGTTTCAGAGCTTGAAAATGAATCTAGTTTGAAATCTGAAGAAGTGGCTTCTGCAACTTGGGGAAAGGAAGAGGCTCTTACATCTACTTTGGCTGAAATAACAAATCTTAAAGAAGAAATTTTAACCAAATCGTAAGTTGTATCTGAGTACTACAGTGTTAAATTTGCTGCTTGTTTGGTTTTATGTCTCACATTTTTTGTGCATGCAGTTCTCAAATTTCAGCAATGGAAATTCAGATCTCTAGTTTTAAAGAGCAGCTGGACAAGGAGCATCAGAAATGGCGTGGAGCTCAAACCAATTATGAAAGACAGGTTAAAAGATTGTTCTTCGTATATAGCAAAATTTGTTTGTAGTAGATTGTTGCATGAGTCTTGTTTTGTGTGCTGAAGTTGCTTGGCTATCTGATTTTATTTTTTCATTTAATTGAGTGACTAATATTTAGATTCAAGTAGCTAGTAAATAATTATGCTGATATTGTTTTTTGTTTTGTTATCTTAAATATCCATTTCCAAGGGCTGCTGGGCAATCAGGATTAGCAGTGTTCATTTCAATTTTTTTTTCCTAAGAGAGCTGTGCATTGGCTATCCTATTTTTCTTAGGAGACTAGACTTCTCTCCTACACTGACTAGTTTTTTAGACGTGCCTTTTATTTTTCTGTGCTTTGTTTTCTCCTTTCGTTTTGCATTTGTTGAGGATATCTTACTCTCCAGCATTTTTGTCAAGCAACCAACTCTCCCAAAAGCTTAATCGGCGATCTCACGCAATCCCACTATCTTCCCCGGTGATCTCACTCGATCTTATGCAATTGTGATCCAGCAACCGATTTGGATCATTTACTGTGAAAAATTGCAAAATCGTGATTTTGACTACTTTGGGCAGAAGTGCCGGGGTTCTGATTTGCTATCATTTAGGGATGAGCATTAGCTCTGCTCTCTCATCTCTCTCTCTCTCTCTGAAAACTCAACCCATTTCAGGGTTTCTGACTAGGGGATGTCTTTTTTAGAATTCAGCATGCTTATCTATCTTGCAGGGTGTTTATTTTTATCCTTTTTTAATTAAGAAATACAAAATTGCAACCTTGTTTTCATTTTGTTTCCGATAACCTTGAAATTATGAAAACTAGGAAATGTTGTTTTCACCATATCCTGTACAATAAATTGAAATCACTTGAAAATAGGATACAAAAATGAAAACAGGGTGACTTTTTATAATTGTAAATGAAAACATATCTACTGGAAATGAAAATAGAAAACAAACCAAACATCCCCTTAATTGTTTCCATTGATTCTTTTTTTTTTACTTTTATTTCTGTTGTTTAGATAGTTAATTTTTGGAGATGTGAATATTTTTTGTTTTATGATCATTTTTACAAACTGTTGGAAACTTGGAGATAACACATTTCATACTCTGCTATTTTTTTTTTTTTTCATTCTTTCTAATGTTAGATGTTTTTAATGGCACAGGTTATTCTCCAGTCTGAAACAATTCAGGAGTTGACGAAAACATCTAAAGCACTGGCCTTGCTCCAGGAGGAGGCATCTGAATTACGTAAACTAGCTGATGCTCAGAAAATTGAAAATGTAAAATTTCATATTCATTCCATATTTACATTTACTATTTGTTTCTTTTTTGATACTTATACTATAGTTCGTTTATTGTTTCTGCCTTCTTATATATTTTTGTTCAAAAATCCTGAGGTATTTATTGGAGCCCCTTATGATATCTTAGTTGGTTTGGTTTACTCTATTTTGGTGGCTTATCATAGGATTAATATACCTTACCTTTGGCTGCTTTGCGTCATGCAGTTTTAAAAGAAATAGCCGGTCTAAATCTTAGTGATTTTTCTTCATGAACTATTTGAGTAGTCGATAGTTAAGGTTTCATACACACACGTATATGACCGATAATGATAGATACATTGTTCTTTTCTTTGGTTATGAGTGGTCATGTTATAGAAGAGGCATTACTGAATCACTATTACAGGTGCAACAGCAGAAAAATAGTTTGAATGTTATGTTCTCATTACCATTTTCCTGATATGTATAACTGTGATAGCTTGATTGCAGTATGGTAGTCAAGATGTGTGGTTCATTGAAAGTCATTAATTTGATTTCCATATACAAATGGTGGGATGATAAGTTGTTATTATTATTATTTTATTGGTGGGTAGATATCTACCCAAAATATGTTATGTACTCAAATGTGCAAGTAATCAAAATATGTTATGTACTTAAAATATGTTATGTACTCAAATGTGCAAGTAATCATGCTTTATATTATCTATTTGGATGCTTTTAGGAGGCTGCTGATTTGAAAGAAAGCTTGAGAAGTGTGAAGCTGAAATTGAGACAAGGAAGAAGAGGAATGAGCTGAGCAATCTTTCACTCAGCAGTTTCGCTTCTGAACCGTATGGCTTTCATAACCTTTTTGCTCCTTTGAATTACTTCATTTTATACAAACTTTTCTAATACAAAATTTATTATGTAAAATTTACCATATAAAATTTATGGTGGTGATTTATTTTTTTAATGATAAATATTAATGACATAACATATAAATAAATATAAAGAACTAGTACAAATACAAATCCTATTGAATATATTATATATGATATTCACATATACGGTATTATTAATGTATATGTTACCACACACGCGCACGCGCACGCATGCACACACACGCACCCATGTTCAAGATATAACATGCACTCCCTATAACATATATATATATGTATACATTCACTCCCTATAATTGATTTACTTAATTTCAGGAGAAAACAAAGTTTATTAATGAACTTGAGAGGCGCAAGCAGGCTCAGAAGAGGTTATCCGATGAAGTTGAAAAGCTTAAGATTGTTGTTGGCAATCTTCCTGAGGTAATAATTTAAAAAGTGATTTATTGCGCAACCTAATTAATGTTGAGTGGATAGGGATGCTTTAGCTTGCAGGGATCATTTTTTATGATTATGTTCTGAGCCCGTTTTGCTTATTTTTTTTAAATTTTCTTAGGGAACGAATGTGGCTCCAACTTCTTTCTGGATCCAATGTCGATTACTTCATTGCCCAAAGCTGCCGTTGAAACACGAAAAACAGGTAGGAAATTGGTCAGGCCTCATCTAGTAAAACTCGACGAGCCTCAAGGTGACATAGAAATGTCTGATGCTGGACCTTCCAGTGACACAGAAACTCCAAGCAATTATGCTCTATCATCTCAACCATTGTCTCCAAAACGCATTGCTCCTACCTCCACTTCTGAATCTGTCACACCTGGTGAAAAGGGCTCTGATGTAGTGGTACCTGTATTGAAGAAATCAAAAGGATCAGAGTCCCCAGAAGATAGTGCTGAAGAACAGCCTGTTACAACTCCGGAATTTACTGGCAGTCATCCAATCACCGAAGAATCATTTGACGGTGGTGAGTTGCCACAAGGCCAAAATGAGGCAGTCAATGAAGGTTAAAATGAGGAAGGTGAGATTGCTCTTGGGAAAGACGAGGAAACCAAAGATCCGCAAGACTTGGGTGGTATGAGTCAAGAAGAATTACAAGGTGACAAAACCGGAATTACAAGGTGAGATTGCACGCACACACACGCACCCATGTTCAAGATATAACATGCAGGCCATTGTTTTTCCTTTTGACAGGTGGCTGACATCAATTGATGCTGATAGCATGTTTGACGAAAATAGCATGCTAGTCCCGAAAATTCATGTTGGTGTTTCTGGAACAGCATTAGCTGCTTCACTCCTGCAAGATGGTTGGAGTGTGAGTTATTAAAGTTTTACTTTTAATACTGGCACTATTTTTCCATTTGATTTACATAAATAAATCTTATTTCTGTATACCTCTATCTTTTGAAGTTGGACAAAATGTATGCGAAATACCAAGAGGCTATTGATGCATTGAGACATGAACAATTGGGCAGGAAGGAGTCAGAGATAATTTTGCAACAGGTATGGTTGACCTGGTGCATCCTTTTATATATAACCTCAAGGGGAGGGTAATATGACAACAGATTTCTTAAATTTATATTCATGTATGTCCGGTACTTAATTTGTTAATGGGGAAGTTGACTGCAATGCTTTAAGTTATTTATTACAAATAAGAAGCATTTTCATGGAATGGGTGGCTGTAATTATTTGAATAATTAATTATATGTATGTAACAAATTTCAAAAGAATGTATTTCCTTTCACCTTTAATTTTCATGGAGTTGGGTTAGGATTCAACAGGATAGGATACTAATATTGAATACTCAATATATCTCCATGCTACCCAATATATCCCCACGCTACCCAATATATTTGTATTTATTGCATTATATTTTATTTTTTCTTTCTCTTTTCTCCTTCTACATAATTTTATCAGATTGCTAATCAGGTGCTCATCAAACACAGGACATGATATAGGCTTGCCAGCTCTATATCTTATCCTACCCTTATCCTATCCTTTCCACCAAACAAGCCCTAAAGTCCCATGACGTATTTATCAACGGAGGACCGAACTAATGACAGTTGTATTTTTGAAGGACCAAAAATTGGGTTAACTCTTTGTTTTTTTTTTTTTGGTGGCTAAAATTGGTTTAAAGAATTCCTGTGATATATATTGTTTTCTAAGAGTATAATTTGATTGGCTAAACCTTTTTTGGTTCACTTGCATTTGGGTTGTAATTTACACTGTTTCCTTTCTGCTGGATTTGGAGATGAATCGATTTAGTACGACTACGACTGTGTTCTGGTGGTACCATATAGTTTATATATATTATGTTAAAAATGATGCAATCTTCTATTAACTTTTTCAGGTTCTGTACGAGTTAGAGGAGAAAGCAGAAGCCATAATAGATGAAAGAGGTATATTGTTTTATTGGATTGAATGGCTAAATAAGCTGTAAACGTAGAGAGCAAAATATCATTAAATACTGTTCCAACATTGTTGTCCTTATTGTTCTGCATTTAATTCCACTAGAAAAAAGAAAATGTAGATCCGCATCTTGATTTTATTGCATTTTATTTTAATTATATATGTAATGTGAGTGGACCAATAGTGGGTGGTTGCTATTATTGGGCTTGGTTGATGGGGGTAGTCTTGTTATCTAATGATTTTATTTGCGCTGCACCTTGGGTAAAATATACAAGGACTATAATTCACTTTGGAATTTTTAAGGTGCTGTGTATGGAGTTTTCATAATTCGGTTATGATGAATATTCAAGCAAAAATCATTTGTGTCCAATGTTATTGTTACATAGAGGAAAAGCTCTGCAAGCAGGGTTATTGTTACATTCTTAATCAACAATGCCATAGATTTTTTACTAAAATAATTATACTGCTGTTCTTGCAGTGGAGCATGAAAAGATGGCTGACGCATACAGCTTGAATGAACCAAAAGTTGCAAAACTCCCTGAATGAAAATTCCAACTTAGAGAAAACCATCCTTGAACTGAAGGTTTACAACTTAAAATACAGTTTCATGTAGCTTTTTTTTTTGGGTTGCATTTGGATTTGCTTATGTGTAACTTAAAAAATTATAATGAACAAGACTATTATAACCCTGAAATAAATTATAATTACAAAAATACTTTGATTTCCGCTTCAAAACGACATCGTTTTGGGCTCAATGTAGATAAGTTATCTGCATTGACGGTAGAAAAAGCAAACCCATAATATAATATAGGATATGAGAATAAGAACAACCAAAATGTTTTGAGGTTTGAGAAAGTGGAGTTATTAGTGTAACCAAAAAGATCAAAGTTTCTGGATTGTTAAAAACTGAAACACTAGAGCATTTTTGAATCGATGCAATCGGATATAAGAGGATCATGTGCTTTATATAATTTCTTTGAAATTCTAACTTTGGAATGCCATCTGTTGGACCTAGCACACTGCTTTTTGGCCTATGTTTGTTAAGTGGGGTGGGCTTCCCCTTATTGACAACTATGCTCTAAACTTCTAATGAACAGCATTATTGTTCACTTCTCCACCCTAATAACTAATGAGATGAAGATGTCCTATAGGATGTAATAATGTTGGCCAAATGAAAGTGTAAACAAGCATGTTTATATTTTCCCTTCAGCAAAGAAGCTCAAGCACTTTAGAATGGCTGGTGATATGGTGTTGGACTCGTATCTGTATAGATTTTCATTGGATGCTGTTGGATTCTCCTAGTTTGCATACTACAACACTGGTGGCATTTCATAATAATTTAATAAACGGGACTTTTTTTATAAAAAGAATTTAGTAACTTTTGTGCCAAGACTATCATAAGAATTTTTTTTATTTTGCCATATTATTGTGTCTATGTTGGTATCATATTTTTGTCCAGTGCCATAGTTGCGCTTTCTGGGTCTTCAGATTTTATGTATAAACTTATTCACATGCATATAACCTGCTACCAATGTAGAGGGAACATTGATAGACGTATGATTCCTCCCCTTTCTTTCTGTCTTTTGTCTTGTGTGAGTGCCTAGGATAAAATGCTTCTGGGTTACTTCCTGATTGGTCAATTGCATGAAAAGTTATGTAAATCATTGCATATTGGTTATGATTGTTTGTTTGTTGACAGAAGAATGTGTTAGGCAATCCCATTGCATTAATTTATTTGTTTGTTAGATTGGTTATGCATGTGAGTTTAAGTAATTTTGTTATATTGTGAAAAATGTGAATATGCATGGAATATCATTATCCGAGTGAATTTTTTTGATCTATGAACTTGTGTAAATTAGCTCTATTGCTGTTTGGGTTATTATTATCTGACTAGTGTCTGTGTGCCTCTTGGACTGTTGGCTCCTTACATTTATTGATTTTTGATTTTCCAGCTGTTGCAGAAGTTGGAAGAATCAACCTGAAGACATCGATTGAAAGTTCACAGGTAAAGCAAATGTTGGAGCAGATAGAGAGACAGTTCCAACTCATAATTCCTGTCTAGGATCAAAGTTGTCAAAATATTAGTTTTTTGGGTGAAGGATCATGAATAGGTTTATACATATCACGTCCCCTCACGCGATAGCCATTTAACAATTGTTATATATGCTGTTGTTTTCATTACTATAGGAAGTTACTAAGAAGTCCCTGGAAAAAGCTTTAGATCGTGTGAGATGTTGGGTTTAAACTTTAAATTAAATAAAAAGAAAATAGAAAATGAAAGGTTTATGGTGAAGAGGTGTGTCCCTAGGTATTTGTTAGTGGACAATTATTGTGTTTAGATTTCCTAAGTTGGTCATTATTATTCTTAATCATTTGCTATTGTTTATAAATAGCTCATTGTAACTCTTGAAAAGTGGCTTGGTAGAATCAGTAATATAATAGAGGTATATTCAGATAATTGTGTGTGTATCTTGTGTGTGAGAAAAACACCATTAGAGGATCTGTGAATTACAAATTGGTATCAGAGCTATGGAGAGTGTGACCACTTCCAGTATGCCGTTGCCCCGCCTGACAAAGGCGAATTATGTGAATTGGAACATTCAGATGAAGGCGTTGCTTGGATCCCAAGATACTTGGGATGTTATTCAGGACGGTTTTGCTGAACCTGCAACTACTGCAGGATACTCAGCAGCTCAAACCAAGGTGATGAAAGAGACGCGTGCGAAGGACAAGGCGGCCTTATACATGTTATTCCGAGTTGTAGATGAGTCCGGATTTGAGAAGATAGCAAGTGCGATGACGTCAAAGGAAGCGTGGGACATCTTGGAGAATGTCTATAAAGAAGCAGACCGAGTTAAGCAGGTCCGACTTCAAACTCTGCGTGGCGAGTTGGAAGGAATGAAGATGAAAGATTCAGAGGGTGTATCCGGTTTCATCACCCGTGTTCAAGCCGTGGTGAATCAGTTAAAACAGAATGGGGAGGAATTATCTGAGACTAGAGTTGTTGAAAAGATTCTGAGGTCGCTGACAGACGACTTCGTAAACGTGGTATGTGCAATTGAGGAGTCTAAGGACTTGGCTACGCTCTCTGTTGAAGAGCTAGCGGGTTCTCTTGAGGCGCATGAACAACGCAAGGAAAAGAAGAAGGAAGAGACACTGGAGCAAGCACTCCAGTCAAAAGCAAATATCAAGGAAGAAAAGGCGCTCTACTCTCATAATGTCCGAGGTAGAGGTCGTGGACGAGGTAGACGAGGAAATGGCCGAGGTGGTCGAGGCCGAGGTCAGGAGGTGAAACATGAAGAAAGAGCTGAGACGAGTCAGCAAAACTGGAGAGGTAGAGGACGTGGCCGAGGTGGAAGAGGCCGGTGGTCGAATCAAAATAATGTAGAATGTCATAAGTGTGGGAAGTATGGTCACTACGCAAGAGATTGCAACTCGGACAGGTGCTACAACTGTGGCCGAGTTGGGCATTTCGCTAAGGATTGCCGAGATGAAAGAAGAGTTGACGAGGCTTCAAACCTCGCTGTAGAAGGAGATGGAGGAATTCTTATGCTAGCCCATGGTGAAACAAGTTCAAAGAATGAGTCGGAGTGGTATTTGGACACTGGTGCCAGTAATCACATGTGTGGTTACAAACATCTCTTCAAGGAGTTGAAAACAGTGGAAGCCGGACATGTCTCTTTTGGAGACGCGTCCAAAATTGATGTGAAGGGCCGAGGTGCGATCTTTTTCTTGCAAAAGGATAGACAAGTTGGTATGATTCGGGACGTTTATTACGTGCCTGAGCTCAAAAGCAATATTCTGAGCGTTGGACAGTTGATGGAAAAAGGCTACTCGGTTCTAA